CATGCCTTAGTCGTTTGACCATTGGGGGGGGGGGAATCAGCCATGCATGTCTGTCTGTCTGTCTGTCGTCCGTGACAACAACATCACAGCAGACTGGAGCCCATTTCACCATCTAGGCACCAACTTGCAATCTTAGACTTGCGCACAACAAGAATATTTTGCCCAAGGTGTCCCAACTGCTACCTTTTCAATCCGTGGTCGGTGCGTCGAGATAGCACAGCATCTGTGCTGATAAAAATGTCGGATTCACGCGTCCCCGAGGTGGAGGAGGAGGCTTGTTTGGAACCACACGTACGTAGGCTCACGCAAAAGACATCACCCGGGGCCAGACATGAACAAGGGGGGAGGGGGGAGGGAGCCACACACCACAGCGAGAGTTTTGGGCGAGAGCGAGACGGGAACAGGGTGTGCCCTATACCTACTGCTGTTAGCTATCGGCGGGGGAAGCGAGAGGAGAGATACACGTTTGGTTGTTGTTGTTGTTGATCTCGGTTGTTTTTGTGTTTGCAGCGAGCGGCAGCAGCGGCCTGTGGGGCGTAGCCTTACACGCGACACCACACACACGCAGCCAGGCATGGACAAGGGGGAGGGACACACACACCACAGCGAGAGGGCGAGACGGCGGGAGCAGGGTGTGGCCTTGCCTACTGGTTGTAGCTATCGGCGGAGCAAGTGAGAGGAGAGATAAGCGTTTAGTTTTTTTGCAGCGCAGCGGCAGCAGTTGGCTGCAGCGGCCTCTTCTTGGAGAGAGGCAGCATCACACCACCAACACACACACACTGACGTCATTGGTCAGCCGGTTAGCGTGGTCGATGCTAATAATAAAAACACACGCTGACGCTGCTACATACGCACCACCATTGGTGCAGTAAGTGCTGCTGTACCCCTCTCTACACTTGTGCGCGAGGGTTTAGTGTGCGACCCGTGCCCTCCGTGATATTTAGTCTGGTCACCCATCACACGCTTTTTGAGTTGCCTGATGATGATGAACACCACCCCTCCTCTCAATAAATCACCATGGTGCCCCCAGAACACAACACTGCTGCTGTGTGGTAAACGAGCCAATGGTATCAACGCAACAACGCACGAGCCTGCTGCAGGTACTGTTTTTTCAACCCAAAAAACTACTACCCCGCCCCGGTCGGTCTAGCAGGAATAATGCATACGATCAAAGGACTACCTTTCTGCAACCGCTGCATAAATGTGGAACAGGACATGTCGCCAAGCAGGGAACCGCAACAACGGGACCCCCACTTCGCCCTCCTGATTCCCGACCAAAGGCCATGGTCTTGAAACAGAAGCTAACGTCAATTAACCGAACGCTACTATATGCACCTGAAACATGACGGACTTTTTGCTCTTCGCCCCCGTAGAGTTGAAACTTTACAATATCATCGCTGGCGGGATACTCCTTCACTGACTAAAGTCCTAGAGGTGACGTAACAGCGCTCCTGGTTGAAGGTGGAATGGCAACCCTTCGAGAGAGGGATCATGACAACCTCTCAGTTTCCACGAAAGGAATAGACAAAGACAGTCTACGAAGGTCGCTCTTTACAGCCCCGGATCCGCTCCCTCTGTAATAAAGAAACATATCTGTTGGGTCGATAGAGGTACACACTGGGCGGCGTGTGTGTGTATGTTACAGCGGTAGTTGCATGTTCTACCTGCAGCAGTCACAGGAGGGTGTCAACAAGAAAACCTCTAAACGGCACCGCTATCATTGCCCATCGTTACCTTCTCAAGTTCGACCATGACCTCTCTCGTGCTCGACCCCCACTCCGGAACGGCTGCGAGGGTAAGAAGGACTTGGCCAAGCAGAATCAGGAGCACGCCTACAACTGTTGCGGAGCACACCGCGCAAGTCAGTTTCCTCGCAAGCCCATGAACCTCGCGTTCCTCCGGGCGCCCGAATTGCGCGGAAAAGGTTCTGGACACACCCCTCGACGGGGTTGCCATGTTTTCCCGACTTATGCTCGACGAGCGACCGCGAAGAGAGAGCGGTCGCAAGACCATATCGGGGGCTCCTTGCTCCAAAGAAGAACCGCTTCGCCCTCCAAGCAAGCGCAGAGAGAGCAACAGGGAAGCAGGAAGCAGGGAAGATCGAGCAGACAAGAAATCAGCAGAGCAGAAACAACGGGACGTGCAGCAGACAAGGGTGCCCCGTGAATGCAGAAATTATGCTCTTTCGCCCTGCGTTTCAAGCATCGTTCCGAGTTTTCCTCTGCAAGGAACTTTCCACGGAAGTTTCCCGATAACCGTAACTTTCGTTGGGCCGCACCAACAAGTTGGGGCAATAACATGAAGGCCCGCAGTGGCAAACGAACAACGAGGGATTCGTTTGGTCATATATGCATATGATGAAATAAAAAACGAAGAACGAGCGCGCGCAAAGAATACGCTGCTTGCTTGTGCTTTCTACAGAAGCAGCTGGTGCGAAACACCGCGAAGCACAGGGTGCATCGGTCATCCGCTGGGTCTGCTGTGGGCGCACCCATCTGCCTGTGTCGTTCGTGACCTCCGTCCATACTGATCGCCTGTCTGTGATCATATGGCGTCCGTCGGTTCCTCCGCCGTCCTCGATGATGGCAAGCCCAAGACGGGGCTTGCGAGAAAAATGACCTATCCTGTGACTTCAATAGGTGAGTGGG